ACAATTCTAAATCTTCAAACTAAGTAAAGATACTTCATTTGATAAATAACTGTTTCCTGGAGTACAGCCCCTTGTGTTGGACACCAGACAAACAGAAAGACCCTCTTATGAATTCATGGTCTTCACTGGAAAATGTCTGTACTCTCAGGAGTTGAATGAGTTGTCCCTGTATGAACAAGAAGGGTCCCATGAATCCCTTTATAGGACTGTGAGAAGAATTTATGATAAAAAAAACCAAAAAACAATAACCCACAGTGGTTTTTCTAAGCCTTTCAATAACTAAAAGACCACGATCAACAATTTTATTTCTGGTAAAATGATTACTTGGTCCTTATCAGAAGTGTTTGCTGTACTCAGAAACATGCCCTTGAATTACAGGGAATAGTGAGCATATTCTAAACCAAAAGCTATTGTGAAGCCAAAGCAATGTTCCAAATATAGCATGTGTTTACCTTCTATGAAAATGCAGTTCAATCTCTGTGCTAGTTTTCTAGCTAACGTTTTCTTTCCAGAACCCTTAAAAAGAAAAATACACTTTTAAAAGAAAATCAGACACAACAAAGCCAAATATATAATCCAATGAAAAATGTATTTCCACGTGATAAAAACAATGAAAATCTACCCCTGGGATTAGGACCTCTGAGTTATGCATTGGGCAAACACAAAACAGTCTTTTTAATACCATCCTCTACCTCATTTTGCCTAGCATTGCTAATATGCTGCTACTTGTAGCTAATTATCTCCAAAGTCATTATACTGAGTTTGTTTCTGAGTAACTCTATCTAAAACTCAGCTATGATTTTACCACAAATTCCTATGAGAAACTCCTTAGGACTAAAATTCATTATCTTCAGCCTCAAAGCAAATTATGATGCAAACCTACTCAACCCCGAGTAGGATACATCAGGATAATATTTTTATTACTTAAACAACAAATGCTTAAAAACTGCCCTTGTTAGTCCACAAATCTGATTAGATACTGACAAAATCTTCACTAATTACATGAAGCCAGAGGAAAACCAACATAACTGAGTTATGAGGCCTCCAAGAGTGATTAACCGAATGGGATTTGCAAAACTCACCATCTTCCACCCTTTGGATTTTGCCTTTTTTTTAGAAGGGTATATAAGACCTATTTTGACAGTTTTTTTGTCCTTGAAAAATTTTGTGATAAAAACCAGCAAAATTCCACAAATAAATACATTCCCAGCTAAGACTGTCAACAAATGCTCCAGCCTACTCATACCTTACATCTTACACTTGTGATGAGAATATATGTATTTGGTTTTGCTTTCATGGCACTACATTTTTAATTTAAAAGATGTATCTTAAATAGGATAGGCACTCTGTACATCAGTCAGATATATTGTCTGTCATGGTAATAAAAGATATTACCATAAAAAGAAACTATTTTATTCCCTGTTTTCCTGGCAAGGTCTGTACAATTTTAATCCTTTGTTATACTAATGTCAAGCATCTACTGAAGGCAATGGTTGAGAATATGATAATTTTTCCTACAGTCTTTCAATCAGCATATTATAGTGGTTTAGTCTATAAAATATAAAGTTACCTTTTTCATGTGGGGTTAAAACTTTGATGTTCATTTAAAACTAGATAAGTTCACTGTAGTTTTCTGTTGAGCTGAGTGCACTCTTATAAGTGCATATACTCATAAGACATAAGGCAAAATTGTACCAAAAAAAGAACTCCCTTCAGCAAACTGAGGCAATAATGCAAACCCACATTTGGGAAAAAAAAAGAAATCTGAAAAGTTTAGGCTTAGAAAACATCAAATTATTCTAAGTTAAGAAGGCCACAAATTAGTTGAGAAAAAGATGGACCTTGAATTACAGTTAAAATGTAGTACAGATCCTTTTTTTAGGACACCTTGGTGGATTTTGAATGTTTCCAAATATATAGGATAGAATTTTGTCAAAGTTTTAATATTAAGGTCTATAATACCTCATTGCATGTCTGTAAGTTAGTACAATAATCTGAAGGTTCTTTTACACCAATTTATGTCTTTAACCTGTCAAATTTATTGAAAACTAAAATATTTTAATAGCATTGTTCTAGTTTTGGCTGGGCAAGAGTTAACTTTCTTCACAGTAGCTAGTGTGGGGCTGTGTTTTGGATTTCTGCTGAAAAAAAGTGTTGATAATACAGAAATGTTTCTGCTACTGTTGAGCAGGGCTTATACAGAGCCAAGGCCTTTCCAAACTGCCACACTGGTGAGGAAAATGAGGGTGGATGGGAAGCTGGGAGGGAACACAGCTGGGACAGCTGACTCTGACTGACACACAAGGATATTCCAAAGCACATGGTGTTATGCTTAGCATATAAAGCTGGGGAAGAGAAGGAAAGGGAAGTACTTTTGGAGAGATAGCATTTGTCTTCCCAAGTCACCATGAAACATGATACTTTCCTGGGCATGGCTGAACATCTGCCTGTCCATAGGAAGTAGGGAAGGAATTTCTTGTTTTGCTTTGCTCATATGCATGGCTTTTGTCAACTCATGCATTTTATCCCTTTTACCCTTCTGTCCCATCCCACCAGGGTGAGTGAGCAAGAGGCTGTGTGGGGTTTGCTTGCTGGCTGGCTGGGGTTAAACCACCACAAAAATAACATCAATCCAGTTGTCAATGTCAAAAGAGAAAATTTTTGAGCAATGTGTAACTTTTAAGTATAGTAATAACATTTTAACCACAATTGACTGGTCACTGAAGGCAAAAACTCAAATTTTTACCATCCTCTGCATGATTTGAGGAGTGGCAAAAGTAAAAAAGTAGGTATTTTGATGCTTTTGGTAGCACTGGTAAACTAATGTTTTGAAATGAAAAGTAAAATAGTAGAATATCTGAAAAAAACCCAAAACTTCTATCAGACATCTTACTGGCTTTCCAAAGACAATTAAGCAAGTGGGCTTGGACAACAGAAAAGATCTTTCAGCTTCATCTTCATCAAAGATGTCTGCAAAGGGCTGAGCTTGGTTTTCCTCTTGTGAAGCCATGTGTTTACTAAGACTAGAAGGAAAAAAAAGAATTTGTTATGCAGTAGTTATATGTGCGTAAAATGACCTTATAATGGAACTGAATTACAAGGTAAATGGATTTGTGAAAAAGAAAGCTTTTATAAGAAGAAAAACATTTAGGGAACATATACAATGCACCCATCAAAAGAGAGAAAACCCATTCTGAAAAACAAAGGACTTGGAACAACCCCTGATCACAAGCTGTTGATGATTTCTTCAGGATTCTAATATTGCTTGTTGCTCTTTTTCAGTTGTTTTGTTGATTTTTCATTCCTGGTCCAATTACCACACAATTGTGACTTCTCTCTGGTCCCTGAAATGGGCCATGGGTTTGCCAAGACCTTTGGTTTTGTGCTTCGGACACAGAAGGGCCCTGCTGTGGTCAATGGAACTACTCTCTGTATCCACACAGGCAGGTACCCAAGTAAGTCTGGAATTAAATCACAGTTTATGATCTCTTCCACCATCCTTTTACAAATCCCAGCTCTTCCAGGAATGTAGGCAGTATCAACTCCAGTGCTGCACAACAAATTAAGACCTAAACAAATTTCTAATTAAGGTAAGTTGGTGGAAAATTTGCGTGGACCTTTCAAACAAAGCGGAGGCTGGAACACGAGGAGCTTGCTGAAGTTTGTTTGGAAAAGGCAAAACGAAACCTCACCGTCTTTAGAGGGCCACTTCACAGCCCCAGCAAAACTCACATGCAACCATCCAACCCCGCACAGCCCCACACAACTACCAGTCAGTTTTAAATTAAATCAAAAACTTCAACGAAAAAAATCTACTTCGGGATGAGAATCTGAAAAAGTTTATCTTGAACCACCAAACACAATAATTCAGACTCTCTTGCATTAAACATTTTAATATAAAAAAAAAAAACAAAAAGCCCAAAAAACCCCACAAAAAACAAAAACCAAAAAAAACCACATGCGAACCAACTCCGCATTGCCCTGATGGAAAACTCACCAGCCGAGCTTTACCTGCCGTTCCCAGCAGCCTCGCTCCTTCCCAAACCTTCAAAAGGGTCTATTTTCTAATTCACAAAAACCACCACAACCAAAGCAAATAACTAAACCGGGCACGCGCACACACCCCCTCTACACACGTCCAGGACACGGGAGCCCCGTTGTGCGCGCCCGCGCTGCCCGGGCAACGGCCGCGCCCCGCCCCCTGCCATTGACCCCGCCCCCTG